CAGCAAGTGCCCTTTAGATGCTGTTGTGACAGAGCCAAGTATTAGGCGGGAACAAAACAAACAGTGGGGGAATTGTAGCCATGCGTAACCATGTCACGCAGTTTGCCTCATGATAATCTCAAGGAGTAGCATTAGCATTGCTAATTTATTCTTTTATTCGCCCAGGATCAGTACACTTATTCCTTTGGGGGATATTTTACCTTTAGTTCCAAAGAATCCAGGCGACCCAGGGCGTCCATTTGCTCCAGGCACGCCAGGCTGTCCTTTCACTCCGGGAAATCCTGAACTGCCAGGAGGTCCTGCAAATCCAGGGAAGCCCATCATTCCTTGGACGCCTCTGTCACCTGTGGAAATTAGCATAGTTAGTCACTATTATGATATCTGTAACAAAGCAGAATGGCAGTGACAATGTCAGTAATACTGGACGGGTAACTGAAACATATGAAGCAGAGAAAAAAAGTGAAATGTTTCCCCGTCATTGGTTGGCTTTATTGTGCTAATAAGAATTAAAATGAACTGAGAGGTCGTGCTTCCCTTAGGCAGCATCATTCAAGGGTACAGCACACATTTTCTTTGTTATTCAGATGGCACTCAGGTTTATCTATCCTCGAAGCCTGACGACACAAACCTGCAAAAGTGTGCGTTAAACGGCATGAATGTCTTACAGACATACAGACTTGATGACCTCTGACTTCTGATGAAACTGAGGTCATTGAACTTGGCCCTAAAAATCATGCAAACATATTGTCTAACCTAATTATCTGGGCTTCTACTAACACTGTGAGATATCTTGGAATTGTTTGACCAGATTTTGTAATTCATTGTTATCAGGCTGTCTTAAAAACTCCCTGAACAATCTTAATAAAGTAATCTTGTTCACCACCACACCATGGTCAGTACATTGCAGCACTGACCGTATTACTGATGTTCGTACAATGGTGATATGAATTCCCCAACCATGCCTTTTTAATGTGGGAGTCAACCAGTAGGATCACTCTGTCCATCATCATAGTCAGTAAAGTCATGATCAACATCTAACACGACACCACTAAAAATGACAAACAAAAAAACTACTTCTGCAGACCCTTTCTTCCTGGCGTTCCTGGTATTCCATCTATAGTCCCTGGTCCTGGTAAACCGGGGCGTCCCCTTGTTCCTGGTAACCCAGTAGCACCAGGTCGTCCGGGAGTTCCTTTCATCCCAGCAGGCCCTGGGAAACCTGGTTCTCCTCTTTCTCCTTTCCGACCAGGGAAACCTGCCAATAATGGAAGGAGAGACAGTGAGAAAAACAAAACACTGACAACAATCTGACATTCATATAGACACATGGAAAAAGGGCTGCTGGCTAATTATCTGGAAAAGCATGCAGTCTTCGGGTGCTTACCAGATTTTAAAATTACACAAATACAACCTCAAATGAACAACAACACATTTCATAATGTAGTCCAAAAGTCAATAGTAGTTAGCATCACCTTTAGCAACAATAACTTGATACTGTTCTGCATGATTTTATCAGTCACATCATTTTCTAATAATCTTGGCTCAGTATTCTTGACAGCGTTACTTCAGTTCATGAAGGTTTACAGAAATTAATTTATGCACAGCTGAACAGAGCATTTAAGTCATTGGTTCTGTTTCCATGTCTCCCCTGTGTCGATGCTCCATCACGCATGCTAACTTCTGTCTCCATGTTTATTCATCTGTTTCCCAGTCGTGTCTCTCGCTGCCTTGGTTCCCTGTGTTCAGTTAGTCCATGCTTTAGTGTGTGTCTCATGTTTCCTGTTTTATTTTGATAGTCTGTTGTCCTGTCAGTTTTGCTTCCTCCCTGTCTGTTATGTCTGATTAGTTCCAGCTGTGTTTCCCTCTGTTTCCCATCATCTCGTTATCCTCCGTGTAATTAGTCTGCTGCCTGTTTTTTCGTTACTTAGTAACGCAGTAACACAGTGAGCGTACGGTAAAGTAACAGTAATCTAATTACTTTTTTGTAGTAGTAATCCCTGACTTTTCTCTCTACTTGAAAAAGTAATCGGATTACATCACTTTTAACGCATTACTGCCCATCTCTGCTAATGACCTTTAACATTTAACATGACAACTGAGCCCTGTAGAGTCTGAGACGTACCTCTTGCACATTTTCACTGAGCATTGCAGGACTGATTGAGGGCGAATTTGCTGGTAGGACCGCTCCTACACTTTTTACGCAATGCTTCTTCTTTTTGCTTTTGTTTTTGTTTATTAAATACACAATGCAACATGTTTTGTAGTTCATCTGAGGCTGTGTTTGCCTAATTTTAAGACCTGCTAAGGACCAGACTATCTTTATTATGTTCTTATAGGTACAACCTTAGAATTTAAGAGGCTAATCTTTCATTTTGACCATAACTGTATCATAATATAATAATATGTATTATTATCTTTTGTATGATGAATACACTTACCTCCGAACAATCAGGTTTTAAGCTAGTTTTTCTATCTTTTAACACACATATTAAAGCAGCCTTGCAAACAGCAACAACAATGCCATCACACATTTCTTTACAATACTTCATTGCTGCGATTGGTCTGTAATTGCACCCAGATTGCAGATTTTGTTGCAGAGACATGAAAGCTCAGTGTGGCTAATTTTGATACTCACATTACAGGAGAACCAGCCGATTGGTAATCATACTGTTTCTGAGTGCAATTCCAGACTAGCAAGGTTAAGCCATCTAAAGCACACTAACTGCTACTGTTTACATTCTTAAAAAATGAACCCATTTTCAGCACATCTGTGCTGCAAAGTTGCAGCTTATCACTTTTTGATCAATGCAAGGATGCGCTGAAAATAAGAAGTCCTTTCAAGAGTGTAAAATAAAAAGCTTCTAGCTTTGAGTTAAACAGCGTTTGCCCCCAAATCTTCAATTTTCACACAAACCTGTTACAGTTAATTCATCAAACACATCTGGAACTGATTAGACAGAAACACTTAGTTCACAATGAGGTTAGTCGTTTCTGCAAGTAAGAACAGCAAACAGTGGTTTTCACATTTCCTGCGGAAATGCTTTGTTTACAGAACTGTTACAAAATATCCATCTGGTTCAGTCTTTCTGTGGGGTGTGATGATGTCATTTCCTTCTAGCATCATAGTTTTATGTACTTTAAAATAGTTAGTGATGCAAACACAGTCAAATGGCACGATTATGATGAAGCACCTCATCAAACATAGGCAAAAGTCATCGTCTCTTAGATAATGAGGTAACACTATATTTGGAGGAGGTAAGCTGCTCCACCCCCTCCCAAAAGACAAAAATAAATAAAGAACAAAAATAAAATTACATAAATTAATTAATATGCCATTCAATTAATCAAAAATAATTTGAAAATAATAAATAATATAGGCGTTAATGTTTTACTTTGCCTCTGTATTCATTCACCTTCATATTAATTACTTTCCTTTACCATCTTTTTTTTCCAGAGACGTGGTGTTACACCCCATACGAGACTCCACGACTGCACTGTGGAGATGGACATTTGTGTGCAGCGCAGATGAGAAATGAAGGCAGCAGTTCAAGTGTTTGTTCTAATACACCAACAGCAAGAGGATGGAGGAAATGCAAGCCAAGGGTGGCGCGGCTGGGAGGGAGGAGAGATGGACAATGGGACGAGGGAAAGAGTGTCTCACCTGGGCAGCCTATAACGAGTGACCCAACACCAACAAAAAAAGGATGGAGGGATGAGAGGATGGATGGAGATGATGATGGTGGTGGTGGTGTTGGGAAAAAAGATGAAAGTGACAAGGAGGAAGAACAGAGACATGGAAAAATACAACAATACAAAAACAAAGAGGGAGAAGACATTCTCGTGGGTGATGCAGTGTTTGATAAACAACACGATTCAAACGGGCAACTGTGATGATGGAGACTGTGAAAGAACGATGTGAACAAAAGAGGAATGAACCAGAGCTGGTGCAGGGATGAGAGGTGAAGGATTTCAGTAGAGATCACAACAAAGTCATATTTCACCTTCTTTTGCAATAATTCACACTAAGAATCTCTCAAAGGTACAAATTCGAGTGTAAAATGTGCAAAAAATATAACAAAACCCGCCAAATCATTTCTTTCTCTCACCTGGTGGTCCTCTCAGACCCTTACTACCATCAGGGCCAGGTGGACCAGGAATGCGACCATCTGGGTCACCTGGAAGCCCAGGAAGGCCAGGATTACCAGGAAAACCGTTAACTCCGCGTTCTCCTTTTCGACCAGGAGCACCAGGACGTCCATCAAACCCTTCAAGAACAGACTTTGTTTACAAAGTGTTGCTTGCAGAAGCATTTAAATGCTAAGTCAGCTGGCATTTGTTATTTCAGGACACCCATCGAATACTATGTTTTTATTTGTTTTTATTAAAATAAGTAACTGACTTAAATCCTGCTACCCACCAGGCATTCCGGGTCCTCCAGGTGTTCCCGGCTGGCCCTTGTCTCCAGGAATTCCTGGTAAACCGTTCTGACCAGGAAATCCAGGTGTAGCTCCTAGCACCTCTCCAGGCTGGCCCTTGGCTCCAGGACGGCCTCGGAGACCGTCCTTACCCCTGGGCCCATCAAAACTCTGCCCTGGGATACCTGGAATACCAGGGTCCCCTCTGGGTCCAGTGAAACCTGCAGGGAATGACATCCCGAGCAACGCATTAAAATGCACAACAGTGAAGTTGGTAGCACCCTCTCTATCACTCTCTCTGTGACAGGAAGTTGTAACCAACCAAGGTTAAGGACAGGAAACCGCCAAAGATCAAGGTTAACGATTAAATATCGATAGACTGAATGTGGGGGAAATTCAGAATTTTTGATTTCAGATGAAGTTCTGGGTGCACTCTGAATGTAAGCAGTTTATGTGAACAGATTTTTTGACAATTTGTCCCAGTTAATCAGTCTGCTATCACAAACAGATTGCATGTAATTACCACTTGATCCTATTTGATCACAAAGTGATAGCAGACTGACTGTCTTTTTGCCATTTTAACGCCATCTCGAAACACCAAGGTTGCTTTGAAGACATCACCTGCCCATGCGCATGGTTGTAGATGTGGCCCCTGCAACGCGAACATTTCAAGATCTCCACAATTAATTACTTTTTAACATGTTTATTGACATGTTTTAAACATGTCATTTTATTTACGGCACAGCCTCCAGTAACTGCCTAATCATAAATGCAGCACTAGAAGCAAAAGAAAAACCTGTCAGGGGCTGGGTCTGTGACCCGGTGTTTTGGGTTTATTTTGTATTTGTGATTTTATTATGTTAAGATTGAGATAATGTTAAGTTCTGGTGTTATTATTTAGTTGGGGTTTAGTTGAGTTTTATTCTAGTTTTTGTTCCATCTGTGTCTCCTGATTTACGAGTCGTTTCCTGTCCTCCCTGCAGTTGGTCTCGTCCTCTGTGTTTTCACTTTCCTTTATGCCAGTGCATTAGTCTCTCCCTTCTGATCCATGTTCTAATTGTCACCCTTGTGCTGTCGTGTCTATGCTCCATTATGTTTCCTGCTTGATTTTGTAAGTCTTGTTTCCATGTTCAGTGTGTTTAGTTTTGCTTCCCCTGTGGCGTCATGTTTATTTGTTTCAGCTGTGTTTCCCCAGCTGTTTCCACTTCCAGCATTACCCTTCGGTGTGTTTAAGTCGCCCATCTTCCTCTGTTGAGTGTCGGGCTGTTTGGTTGTCTTCATGTCAAAGTTTCCAACTGTCCGGGTTCATGTTCATGCTCGTACTCATTTTCATTTTCATGTTTTGATTATTTCACAGTTACATTTTTGCATGTTCGCATTCAGTTTCATGTCCTTGCCTCGTTCTTCTATTTCTTTTGTATCTTGTGTCTGCTTTTGGGTCCAATTCATAAACACACCAGCTATCCCTGCCATGTAATTGCATTATAAGAAGGCCTAAATCAGAGATTAGAGGATAATTAAATTAATTACACAATTCAATTCACAGTACAATAAAAAAAGACTTTGAGTTTCATTTGTAATTATTTGACTTTTGCATGTTATGTCTTATTGCAGTCTGGTACAGAGAAACCCCACCACGCAATTTTACCTTCAGGTCCACGCACGCCTCCGGTGCCGGGGTCTCCTCTTTCTCCTTTGGGGCCATCAAACCCTGGACGTCCAGAGGGCCCTTGCAGCCCTGGTTTACCTTTAAGACCTGGCAAAGAGGCACAATCATTCTGATGATTTGTTTCCCCAGTTTGTAAGCAATAGTCACAACAACATTACAAGCAGTAATACAGACAAAGTTGTTTCATAAAATTATTAATGAACATATTCATCTTATTTCTGTAAACACTGATTGAGAATCTTAATAGATCAACTACAAAACCTAGAGCCACAAAGTAAAATCATGCAATTTGCACCTGTATCTACAAATGAACAATGTGAAAGTGCATGCAAAGAGGACCTATTATGCTTTTCTCCATTTCCTGTTGTTCCATTGGTAGATTGGTGCATTAAACATGGGCAAAGTTTGAAATGTTGAGGTCATCTTGTGTAAAATTAAACTACTACGATCTATTCTTGGATCCGTGATGTCATAGAGAGGGATAGGCAGCCAATCAGAGAACATATGGTGTAAAGGTGTGTGTGTCTGTTTGTGCCTAACTGTGATCATCATAGAGTTTAAGGCTTTAAGGCTGTAAAATCACCATAAGACATCTGTTAAATCGTACCTGGTTGTCCAAGGAAACCGGAATCGCCTGGGTCTCCTGCCTCACCCGTAAATACGCAAGGCAGAGTTTGTCCTGGTAGCAGTCATACACAGGTTAGCATTCAGACTTCAAGCATTTGAATACACATTTAGAGTGAACACTTGGACACATAATAGCACATCTACAAATGTATACCTATTTATATATAAACACAGTTTTAGAGTTGTGTATTCTTTTCAACTAATCAAATCAGGGCAAAGAGTTGAAGTAGCGCAATGTAGCACAGGTCAAAATCACATGTTAAATACAAACAAAGTCTTCAGTATAGTGAAACATCAACTTTAACACCATTGTAGACATATGTGATAATGTATTATTAGAAATAACTGCAAGATAAACACAGTGACACAGTAAAATGTTGGATAATTATATTCAGTGAATGTTTTGTTGAGGTGCTGATTGTCTATCGCCTCCACTCATGCCAACAGAGACTTTTTGTGCAGGGAGTTAGAAGCAAATTCATTATATTAAGAAGATAATGGGAATTAGAAATCCAGTGCAGGTTTTGTGTTTCATTTCATTCATTAATTAAAAGCATTTAGCAGAGGCTTGGCTTGAAAACATGCGCAAGATTTCAGCAGCTTTGATTGGACGCCGAGCGCGTATAAACAGCCCTGAAGCTCGACAGTCAATCATTGACTGACTGGGCCTGAGTGGAAACCCTGAAGATGCAGGGAGCGAGAAGCTTCCATCGGCCTCGTCATGAACAAATGATTGACAGTTAGCCAGTAGTTTCCAGAGTGCACTATGTTTCCCATGATTAAAGGAGGCTGGGGCTTTTTCTGAAAAGACTTCCCTTATGAAACATTTATAAGCTGTAATAAGGCCTCAAACAATAGTCTGGGCTCCCAGACTGTGAAAAATATCTTTGACACAATGCTTTTTGACAGAGCTGCAGAAACACTGGAGTTTCTTAGGTGTTTACCAAGGGTCTACTAATATTACAAGGGCAGAATGATAAAAAGGATAAACATGGGCTATTTAGGAAAAATGCATAACCTGGCAACCCAAAGCTAATGAATGGCTTACATCCAGGCTATCACATCATTAACCCTCTGAGATCTAAGTCATCATCTGTGCCAAACCTAAGCTTAACTATAACCCCAAGCAATCAGAATCATTCTTTCTTTTTATGCTCAAATCTCGGCAATTAGGGAACAAAGACAACAACTTTTGTTTAACCAGATTATAGGCTTAGGTTTGGATTATGATCACAAGTTATTTTGTCTCCCTAAATATACTGAGTAATTTTTCCCTTTTCTATCTTCGAGGTCCTACAGGCTTGACTAAAGCAAAACCCATGGTTATATTTTTAATGGTCATCATTGATACCACGTCTTCTTTTCTCTCTGTTTTAGTTTCATGAATTATGACATTTACAGTTCTTTACACACTACTGCAATAACTTTGGACCCAACTGTTCGTGGGAGGTTTACTGGCCTAAAAAGTTTCTCTAGTTTCTGAAAGTCATATAATTGAAGCATCATTCATTGAATGTGGAATGCTCGTTTTTTGAAACCCATCGGACAGACCAAACAGGTTGCTTCCATTGTAAACAGCAGCAGCATATTCATCCACCAGCTGCTCGTCTGCCTGAAACTAACTCTAGAGGTTCTGTCGAAGGCTCACTAGCCTGGCTGGTGGATAAAAGAATCAGTTACCCACCCTGTCCCTCCTCGGTGTCATTAAGCCCTTCACAGATGCTTTCACCTGGATAGATACACATGCACAAAGGAGGTCAGAGAGACGAGGGGATGGATGGATGGGGGAGATAAAGACAGGTAGAGAGAGAGGGAGAGGCAGAAGGTGGCAGCATACAAAGCCAGTTAGGTTGATTTGCATGCCCCAATAAAGCCATTGAGTTGGGTTTTCATCACAACAGGTATCAGCAAATCAGCAATAAGTTCATTCAGTTCAGGCAAAAACAGGTTATTGCCGTCAACATGAGAGGAGAGAGAGGAAGGAGGGGCATCTGTGCGCCAGCGATGCATCCAAACACTTCGTTCTCTCTTAACTCCTACCAGCGACAATAACCTTCATATTAAAAGCAAAAATTAATCAGTCGTCATGGTATGAAAGCACACATTCATACTAAAGATGAGTGGCCAGCTGCTGCCGAAAGGTTTGTGTCATTTAGTCTCAGGAAGATGCGGGCGTCTGTTGCCGCCATCATTTTATATTCATTGTGGCTGTAGCAAAAAACTGAAAAGTGTAGCTAGAAGCTGACTGTTGATAAGCTAAAAAAAAAAAAGATTTGCAAAGGAAAAAACACACAAAAACGATGTTTTGGTTTGGTTATGTAAATTTAGTTTAGCAGCAGATTTTTGGGTAAAAAGCCAGACATGGCAAACATCAAACTTCTCACCTGTTCTGAGACTAAACAAGCACAGTCGTTTTAGCTTAATCAGCAAATACATCATCATCATTAAGCATCAATCATTCCATTAAGGAAGCAGTTTATAGATTGTTGGCTGCAGGTGAAGTGTGTAAGTACATTAATGGAGACCGTTAATCATTTCGTTAATCGTTTGCTGCTGCAGCCGAGGAAACACGGAGAGCAGGAAGCTGCTTTGGAAGAGGAAATCTAACAAGAGCCACAAGCTCTGTCCAAGTCCTGGACAGGCTGCCTCACAGAGGTCTTATAATGATCTAGCATGTGAGGACGATAACTGTTGTGTGCTGAAGATGGACAGTGATGGGATGAGGTGGTGTGGATATCGCCCTGTGGAAGAGGACTGTATGACACACATTCACATATTTTATGTCATTCTCTGTCTCACGGACACACACTCAAAACACCATTATTTACCTTTCTCTCCAGGTGAACCCGGTATACCTGGAGAACCAGGTATACCGGGTTCTCCAGGGTCTCCACGCAAGCCGGGTGCTCCATCATAGCCAATGCCCGGCTCACCAGGGCCTCCAGGACGTCCCTTAGAACCTGGAAACCCTTGAAATCCTTTTTCTCCCCTTGAGCCGATGCCTGCATCACCCTAGAGAGGAGAGGAGAGGAGAGGAGAGGAGAGGAGAGGAGAGGAGAGGAGAGGAGAGGAAAGGAAAGGAAAGGAGAGGAAAGGAGAGGAAAGGAAAGAAGGCAAAGGAAAGAAAAGAAAAGAAAAGAAAAGAAAAGAAAAGAAAGGAAGGAAAGGTGAGAAGTGGAAGAGGGAATGGAAAATAAGGAAACAGGAAAGAGGATAGGCCATTAAAGGAAAGAGAAAACCAGGAAGAAGGAGAAAAGGAAAGTTAGAGGAAATATAAGAAAAAGAAAGTAAAGAAAGCAAAAAAGGGAAAGCAAAGAAGGTGAGTGGTAGAAAATATGAGTAAAACAAAAGAAGGATAATGAAAAGGTGGGAGAGAGAACAGGAGACAAAAGAAAATAAAAGGAAGGAAAAGAGAAAAAGGAAGGAAAGAGATGAGAATATACAAAATAAAAGGGGAAGAACAGAAAGGCACAGAAATTATACAGGAGAAGAAATGAAATAAGGGAATGAGATGAAAAGACAGCAAAGAAGCGAGAGACGAAAAACAAAAGAAGAAGAAAGGGGAAAAAACGAAATGAAAGGACAGAAAATATATGAGAGGAAAGAGGAAACAATGATCCTCATTTGGACGTCTTTTTAAAAACGTATTAAATGAAAATCTTTCTGAAGATGAACTAATATGTAAACTGTGTTTCGAAGGACTCACTGGGGGTCCAGGAAATCCAGGGAAGCCAGGCAGCCCGTCTCTTCCAGGATTTCCTGTTTCACCTGTAGGTCCTCTGGGTCCAGGATCTCCTATGGCTCCCTTCAACCCCAGATTTAGGGTGGGGTAATATGGAGCCCCCTTCTCTCCCTTACGCCCGGGGAAGCCCCGCTGACCAGGAGGACCCTGCAGAGATACAGAAATGTGAAACTTCAGAAACTGGTATGCATGCATTTAAATTACTTATCATTACGATTAATACGATGATGATGATGATGATGATTATTATTATTAATAATTCCCATTCAAGTCATATCAAGGGCAGAGTTTTGCTTACACTAGGTCCTGGACGATCACTGAAGCCTAGTGAACCGGGGTCTCCAAGAAAACCCTTCACCCCAGGCAGGCCAGGACTGCCATTGGTTCCTGGACGTCCAGGTGGTCCATCTAACCCCGAGAAGTCTCCTCCAGAACATCTGCAGTCACCAGGGTCGCCTGCAGGACGGCAGGATTAAGAATTGTAGATTGTCGCACTTTTGCTTCCATTTCCAGTAGTTGTGTTTTAGTTTCCTTGGATACCAATGCTTCGTATTTGTATTTTGCTGCTTGCTTTTCATGTGTGGGTAAACTCCTCACTCACCTCTTCACTTCTCGGCAACAATTTTGACTCATTTTGAAAAACGCTATGATTTAAATATATTTTTTGCGAGAAACAAATCATTTCATTTCATGAAGTCTGCACATCTGTGTGTACCTCTAAACCCTTTGGCACCAATGTTTCCTGGAAATCCTGTGGGACCAGGCGGCCCGGGGCCTCCAGGGGGAGCAGTTGGTAGACCTTCAGAGTCACCTGCACAAACACACACGCAAAGCTACCCATTAGAGGTTACACTGACCGCAAAGTAGTTTTAAAAGTCACAAATTGTTACTTTAAGATTTTACACAAACACTTTATACTTGTTTAAGTTTCTTGAACTGATTTATTGCTTTTCCTTTTGAAACCAAGCTTTCAATAACCGGAAAAGGAATTACTCAAGCCAGCAGAGCGGAAGTGCGGCTCGAAGCCACAGTTTAAAATCAGGTTAGTTTGCTTTGTTTGGTTTCCAGATTTGACAAAAGATTTAAGCTGCTGTTGCAAGATGAGAGGCTTATTTTTTGTCATCTTAAAATGTAAAACAACATGAACCCCTTCAGTGATTTTACATCGACCGTCATGGTTAAGAGCTACTCACCAGAAGCAGCATGCACAGCCTGTTGCAGTTCGGAGCCTTACCCCGGCAACGAAAATACCCAAACACAGTCATCTTCCATGCCAGTGAAATCATCTTTTGGATGTTTTTCCAATGATTTCCTTCCAGTATGTTTCACAGACTGTTTCTTCCTGTGTTTCCATGTGTTTGTTTTAGAAATAAACAGTCATTAAAGAAATCTTTTGCTAGCAAGCGTTAATGTCCACGTGAGATCTGTGAATTACGTTCACAGCAGGCGACACCTTGTCACCAGAGATGAGAGAAGCAGCTTGGATCAGTAGAGAGAGCCTCTCATATCCAAGACTGAAGCTGGCTACACTCTATACTAACAACCGCTCCCTCCACAGCACAGAAGTGATCAAATAAAGCATTGTGGCAGCTAGATGCTGGCTGTGAAAGTTGAGTCTGCGGTTTTGAATTTCACTTTGGCAGCGTGATTGTTGCTGGCGAGTTTCAAAGAAATATGGCTGCCTTTGGGATACCTGTAGGACTGACCTGTATCAGGATAGATGTAGCAGGGCTCAGCGTTTGTGCCTTGAAGGACAGCAAAGTCAGTCAGCTGTTATATTTGAAAGTGTTTCTATGTCTTGTCTTTCACTTCTACCGAGTAGTTGAATTTTATTGTGTTTAAGATGTAAAAACCTATTTTTTATATACTGAAAAATATTTTGCTTCAATCCCCGTAACCCCAACAGTAACAGAAACTGAGCACAACTTACACAACAGTCAAAGCTCAAACATGTATAAGAAAATTAGGAGGAAAATAAAAATAAAGCTGTACTTTCAAATATTCGGTTTCTACTTCTGCTTGCCTGAGAGGGAAGGACCACAGAGCTTTATCTGCTGTTTTTGTGTAAATGTACCTGGAGGGCCTTGAGGTCCAGGAAGGCCACTGGGTCCTGGGGGCCCAGGGAGTCCTGGGAAACCTTCAAAACCAGTGGGCCGTAAGCCGGGGTCACCCACTTCTCCTTTTACACCTTTGGGCCCAGGAGGACCTCGAAGACCTGTGTGCACAGACAGCTTCTGTTGTCTAAAGATCATTACTGATGGTGGTTAATCCTCCGTGATCAGTGTGAATTTGTGTGTATTACCTGGACCAAAACGATCAGGTCCTGGTTGGCCGGGAGGTCCTGGAAAGCCTTGAGGCCCCTGGTCACCCTGGGGTCCTGGAAAGCCACGTAAACCCGAGTCCCCTGGAGGTCCTGCAACCAATCACATAAGAGGTGGTTAAAGGGCCGGTGGTTCACAGGAACACATGTAAAAAAAACCTCAAGGTGTTACCTTGAATAGCATAACCCCCATTAACAAAAGAGCTAGGTCCTGGGGGTCCGGGGTCTCCCTGGTCTCCCTACAAGATGCACCCAAAAAACAGATTAGAGCAGAAATATTGATGGTATCATCTCTCTAAACCAACATATAGATAAGTAACCATTTTCAGTTAGCTAACCATAAAACCCAGAGGGTGCATCTGAAAATGTGTCATTGTGGCAGAGTGATATTAACATTTTGTGCTTTCAGTGATGCTCGTTTGCTCTTCTGGCTGTAATGAGCGGTTGTTGAGTTACTGCCTTCTTCTCAGCTCAGAGTAGTCAAGCCGCTCTCCTTTGATATTAACAAGGCACCTTCACCCACCTTGCTTCCTCATTCTTTGCTCGGTTTGAACCTCAGCAGGTCATCTTGACCATGTCAACATGTCCAAATACGACTGCTGCCATATTATCAGCTGATTAGATATATGTTACCAAGAAGTCAAAAGGGTTTAATGAAATGACCTGTAACTGCTAAGCTAGGATAGTGTCTATAAATGAAGATCCGTGATTAGGCAATTTAATTATTGTTAATGTTTTATATTAAAAAATATCCGCTTTTACAAGTCGTCATTACCTCTGTAACAAGAGTAGTATATGTGACAGATAGAGCAATAAAAATTGCTACCGTCAGTGTGAGCACAGTAGCCCCATCTGCTGGTGAAATAGCAGAGAAGCTTAATACAAACTTTGCCCTTTCAGCTGCTGCCTTTATGCCTACGGCGTGTGGATCTGATATATTGTGGTGTTATAAATTCACAGGTTCACTACAAATGATATAAAAGTTCTTTTTAGTAAGAAATGTTGATGTCTCTTTATAATAATTAGGATATAGGAAAACACAGCTGTAAGAAAATACCCCTGACTTGTACCATACATCTGCTTTAGAGGAACAGTGATTCTACCTTGAATCCTGGGTATGCCGATGAGCCTGGGGTGCCTGGACGTCCTTTGGGTCCCTGGGTGGAAGAAGAAAAATGAATCTAAATTGAACATACTGTACAGGTTTAAAGACTAATGGCTATCATGCCGTGCAGCAGGGGTGTCTGTGTTGACAATAATATATATATTTTGTCATGAGTTAGGAAATAAGAGGATGCAGTAACTCCTGAGTTTCCTATAGATATTATGAGGTTATCTGAAGTGTACTTCGAAGTATGTACTGTATTTTTTCTTGGTTTTTGGGGGACTTTTTGGTTGTGAATGCACATGAATATGATTCTTAACATGGAGTAAGGGCAACAAATGTGTTGCTCTTTTTTTCTATGATTTAAGACCATCAACTACATTTTTACATGAAACCCCAATTCACTAAATAAAGGTAAAATTATATTTGATCCATATAGTAGATGGATCTCGTCTTCTATGTAGGACCATGTGTCTAATATAAGAGGATAACTGTGGGGATGAAGGCAAAGAAACAATTACTTTCACCTGTAAGCCAGCTGAGTATTTTCTGTGGCTCATAATTAATGTGAGAACTATTACTCTGTGCTTACAGTCTTACAAACCCTACCTGCAGTCCTGGAACACCGGGCGGTCCGTTAAACCCTGGAGCCCCCTGCTTGGCAGAAACACAAACAACACCCACCACAGAAGAAGAGGAAATGGTGAGAGGAGTTCCCCTCACAAAGGGAAATAAGGAAGGAATTTCAAACAGTAATGTCACTAAATGCACTTTAACTGAAGCCAAAAAGCACAGAGTCTTACTCTGCTCCCGGGGTATCCAGGAATGCCCTTTTCTCCATATTCTCCAGGATAGCCAAAGGGTCGCTGTGATTCAGCGACAAAAAGGAAGGTCTCCTGAATCACAATTTCTCCTAAAATGCATCTTGCATGGTGGGCATGAAATAAAAAATAAACAAGCAAACTGTTTGAATACTTACAGGTAGGCCGGGTATTCCAGGGTATCCTTTAGTTCCCTTTGGACCGGGGTCACCCTTTGAGAGAGGCAACGAGAGAGCAAAGTAAACAACAGCAAAAAATCCATCCTTGTTACGCACTCCATCCCCATTTGTTTTTCATTCATTGCCTTTAATAAATCATGGATCCTGTTCACGTGTGGTTTCTTCTTTGCGCGGTAGAGCTTTAACTGGCATTTTGTGGATGAATTTGTGGAAGTGTTCCTGAGCCCATGGAATGATTTCCATGAGTGAATCATTCCTGTTTTTAATGCCGCGCCGTCTGAGCACCCAGAGATCACAGACAACCAATAGGAATCTTTGGATTCCCCCAGATTCTCCAAATCTTTTGATATTATGCGCTGTAGATGACGACATATTTTAAGTATTAATAATTTGATATTGAAGCACATTATTCTGAAATTATTCGACAATTTGCAAATTGTTGAACCTCTGCCCTGCATTACTTCTGAGAGGCTCTTTTTATATCCAGTCATGTGACTCACCTTTGGCCAGTTAACCATTTTTCTTAAAATTACGCATTTTCTCAGCTATTCATAAAATATTTGCAAATCATTGCATTCAGTTCTTATCTAGAGCACATTTAAAGCGTCACAATTTGGGGGATAAGTGGGTTTTGTATTTAATTGTGCTAAAATCAGGATCGTCTGCGACAGTCATAGTTTGCTGGACAGTCAAGTAGACGTACTCCTCTTGTTGAAATGCATGCAGCACTGTTGTGCCTCAAGTCTGTTGCATGTAATTTAATAACAGTGACTGTTAGTGCCTCCCTAATTTACAGTTTTGATGAAGTGGAATTAAAGACGTCATTTTTCCACATCTTTTCCTTCCATTTGTCTCTTGTTCACGTAGCCTGAGGTTTATTATTTGACCTTCCAGCTGTGAAACCTTTACTGACTCAGGCATGCAAAAGGTCTTATAAAAGTCTGGAGATCACTGAGGTCTCGGAGCAAGAGCTACCAAAAGAAAGGATTGTCATTATCGTGACGTATGTGGCGTTTTTCCATCGCTGTGCGGCTGTGATCTGATTTAATCCTGCTTCAGTCTGATAAAAACAACACCTTGCTAAGAAAACGGTCTCATGCAGCTCGTCTTTTAACAGCTTAATGTGGCTGCTGCTGTCTGCTTAGACCCTAAAGCACTAACATGGGGTGATTTCACCCACACGGTGAGTAAATATCACTCAGTGGTATTTCCCAAAAGGTATATGGTCAGCTGGTCACCTTCACCCTTCCAATTTTTTGTTTATCTATCCTACTGTTTTCAGTGATGCAGGGAGTCTGTCACCTCCCTGGAAAAATATCACATTTCCCAGGAAAAAGTTTCCATTTTTCTTTTATTTTTGTAGATTTTTTTCTCTTTGATACCTTTTTTTGTAGAGATAAAAGAAGAGTCCTTTTTGCCGTGCATTTTTCTACTTTAATACGTTTTGGGAAGCATGTTTTAACTGATCTATTATATCAGGGGAAATGTTCCCTGACATTAGCGATAGCGTTACAAAACTAGATGTTAGTGTTGTGAATGCGTTCAATATAAAGCTGCAGCATTAGCATAGTGTCGGTTTTTAACTTTCTGAGTGGCCATAGGCTCAGAAACTATTCTGCTCGCCTCTACAAACAGAAGTTAGATGCATTCGCACAAAGTCTTGGTAAAGGACAGGAAGCTTTTTGCTTGTGTTTATATTGATCAGCCACGCTGGAGCGTGCTTTGGTTGCATGAAGCAAAAACAATATGTGTTGGGCAAATAGAGAGCTCGCTTTTCAAGAAATCTGCTAGATGACCATCGCTGTCATGTGGCAATAATTAAAAATCTACTTTTCCCAGTGACACATGGACATAACAGGAAGTCTTGGTTTGGATGTGTCGGTTACACCAAAGGAAAATGTCAGTTTCTCTCATTCATAAAGCAGTGAACCTGGGAGAAAAGTATGTAAGTAAGTGAAGCATACAAGTTTACCAACACATGATGGTGTCGATCACTTTCAGGCTGTTGCCACCATTAAAATGACTTTTTTATGTTTGAAACTGATTTTTTTGTGACAGTGAAATAAAACGCTTGTGTTTCCCAACAAACCTGCATTCCTTTGTCTCCTTTGGGAAAACCCACAAACTCCACAACGCCATTGATCATTGGCTGGCCGGGGTCACCAGGCAAGCCCATGTCGCCCTGGATGCGGTGACCAAGGAAGAAAGAACTGTTTACGCTGACGAAGCGCGGGAAAAAGCAACCCCAGCTTTTGGAACGTTTAGGGGAAGAGAGGGCAGACTGTGGACTGGAGGATGGACGGCATGAGGCCACGCAGGAAGCGGCTGAAGAGAGCGCAGGCCGAGGAGAGGAGCGAGGAGCTTTATGGATGAGGATGAAGAGAGGCTGGTGTTTGTTGTTTCTTTACAACTTTAATCCTACTTACAGAAACTTTGAAGGAGGTTCAGACAGTAATAGTCAGATTCAATTTTAAGTTTTTTTTAAACTAATTATAAACAGATTTGATTTCTTTCTCTCCTCATGTTTCCAAAATTGTCTGTACTCAAGATGTGTCAGTCTGTGTCATGTGTTTGAAAGCTACCAAAAAATTTAGGATCAATAGTTTGAACTTGAAAGCTCAGACATGCTGAGTTGATAACAGTTTATAAAAGTTTATAACAGAAACTTTTCACTAGGGTCCATTTTGCCGTCTTCACTAGACTGCAGTTTAATGCATAAACGTTATAAGCCTCAAACACATTGCACAATGACAACACATCCCAAGGAAGAAAAACTATTTTATCCAAACACCTTTCACAATAAAAGCTTCCTGGTTTTGGTGCAGAGCAATTTTTTACTGAACCTAAACTCAGTGGTTTTCCAGCAGTTAATGATTCAGCACCTTTAATGCCATAGTCTGTCTCTCACACTCACAGTCTGCAGCATCTGTGTTGCTTTCATTACTTTTATTACAGCTGTAAAACAAATATGGGATAAATACTGTATTTCTTAAATGATCTTAATAAAAAAATTCAGGTTGGCTGAAAAATGTAAATGATTTTTTCTCCAAATTCTGATTAAAGATGCACGACTGCTGCTCTCTGTGAGTCTGGACAGTGATGACCGACCTCTCCTCCACCTCTCCCCGTGTCTCCTCACGTCCTCCCTCGGCTCCTTGTTTCCTCCCTCCAGCACGTCCTCCTCTCTGAGGTTTGTAAGGTTTGCTGCAATCACTGCTCCTCTTCTTTATTAGACCTTTGACCTGCCTACTGCTGCATCGTTGCACTTCTTTCTTTTGGTTACTTTCTGCAGTGAAACCCCCACCACATCCTTGCGTGTGTTTTTGTGTGTCTGTTGTGTTAGCTCAAAAACCTTCGCTCCTTCCCTTCCTTTGCTGTGTTACCTTATCTCCTTTGTAGATAGTGAGTGTTTTTGGGCCGCTTAGCGACGTGTCGCCGGGACTACCCCTGGGTCCGGGAAGACCCACGTCACCCTAGAGTCCGAAATACACACGAAACACACTGTTAGCCAATCAGGAGACGCAAAGAGCAGAGGAGGGGAATGAAGGAAGGAAGGAGAGAAGGGGAGAGGAAAAGGAGAGAATGGGAGGATTATTTTACTGAAGCAAAGGTGAGAAAATAGCATCAGCACCTTGAAAAATCACATTAAATTATATTCACTGAACAGAGCAGATCTGGACTCTCAGTACAGTGTGAAGCAGAGCTGATCAGATGCAACTAATGTTAATCAAAGTTAATCTAACCTGCTGTTATGCATATAAATGTGCACACAGTCGATAAGGGACATCAGTCCTTATATTGAAAGTAGATCTTTTTAAAGCTTCTTTAGGCGAGAAGGTGACACCTGCACACTCTGTACGCTGTACAACATGAGGTGTATCACTCCTCTGGTTTTCCACCTGGAGACAGCGTTTACCCTACAGTCTGTCTTTGGTGGCAGCTGTGACATTTAGCTGTCGCCTCATTGCTCTGACACACAAAATAATTGTCTAATTTTATCCATTCTGGACTTTCACAATGAAAACCTTAAAGTCTTCAGCTCGACCTCCTGTTCTTTTGTCTTCGAACCATACGCCATTTCAGGTCTCACTAACATTTTTTAAATCTTCTCTTTCCCACTTGCGGTTATCCTTCTGTCACAAATCACCTCTGACACTCGGCTCCACCCACTCCCACTTGACTGCACTCTCTTTTCTACCTCTCTTGTGCACTGCTCCTTGATTGAATGCTTGACCTCAGGTACCTTGACCACCTTTGCTTCTTGCATGTTCACCTTTCCACCTGTCTCCCTCTCATTCTGTCCTGCTTATACTGACTTGCCCTTTTCTCCCCAGAGCAGACCTCCACCTGCTCCCGACTCTCACTACAGATCACAGTGTCATCTGCAAACATTGTAGTCCGCAGAAACTGCTGCCTTACAGTTGGACTCTTTTCTGTCATATAAATTTACTGCATTTTTTAAAAAAATGGTGACGCTGGTGGAGCAAAAGAAAAAGGAGGCAAAAAAAGAGGGTAAAATATAAATATAAGGCTCAAAAACAGATTAGAGAAGGTAAAGGAATAATAGCTGTGATAGATAAAAAAGAAGAAAGCTTAGTGACACTTTATATATTATAGTCAGTGTATAAAAATTCAAGGCCAGAATTAAAGAGAAATACACATGCTGCACATTTTTTTACTGAAAAAAGGTGTAATTCAATCCTAAAAGTGCATTTCACCAGGCTGGAGAAGATCCAGCTGTTTCCACATTCACTTCATCCCTGTTTTTATCCTTGCTCAGTCGCTACGGGTTTTGGTTGATCACAGCATGCATGCAGTGTGTGAGGAAGATGATTGTTAGTAGCACCTGTGCCATTTGTGCAAACGGTATGGGCGGGTGTGTGGATTGATGAGCGGGTGGTGAATAAGAAGTCAAGGAGTGGGAGAATGACCTACAAGTCTCAGCAATCATCACCAGAGGCCTGATGTGGTCAAGATGGGTAAATAAAATCATACAGGAAGCAGGAGCGAGTGGTTGCAGCACCCAGTTACAGCCCACAGGTTACAGTCCTCCAGAGTGACAACTCAGAAATTTCAACTGGTAAAAGTCCAGGGTGGGATAGACTCACATAAAGTCAGCTGGGATTAGCTCCAGCCCACTCGCAAATCTGAACTGGAGAGGTGTTTTTGAAACTGGATGGATGGGACGAATTTTGGGTGAATTATGGTGAGAAATCTCTGAGCTGTCATTCAACAATAAAGAAATCAGTCCGTGAGGCCACTGGACATCGGACAAACTCCCCGATCTAAAGAAAAGAAAAGAAATTGCCAAAATAATTGAACTTGGAGTTGAGCTGGTCAGGATTAAGCTGAGCGATCTGTCTCAGGGAGTCTGCGTTTGTCTCAGCGGCAGCACGGATCACATGAAGAACAAACCAGACCGAAACAAGCAGAGGCTCATGTGATTGTTTTTATCATTCAGGAAACAGATGCAAAAATCAGTCCAACACATGTGTCAAGAAGAGGATGGAGAGAGGAGGAAGGTGGAGGGATGTTGGAACGGGTGGGGTTAAAAGGAGAAGGAGGGAGGGATGCAATGGACGGAAGAAGAGCAGGCTGTGCCACCACCACAATGTTAACATGCACGGCATTAAATCAATGAACTTTAGTGTCATTCGAGCCGACACACACGCACACACGC